TATACTAGTTCAGTTACAGCATGATACGATTTACACATGCAGTGTTATATATATATATATATTTTTTATAAAATAATAATATTGAATTTAAATCATTTTGAAAAGCTTTTTACCCATATTTTACGTAAGTATGTTCAGCTGGGTTGCATCCTCAAATTGCATAAAAACATAAAATTTATTTTTTAAATTTTAAATTTCTACCGAAATTTTAAAACTTTTTTGTCTTCAAACTTACATAACCATATTCAAGCACTCATCACTACAGAAACACATAAAAAGTATGCAAAATTAATTTAAAAAAAAAAATTAAGCAGTTGGCAGCTACCTGGAAAAAAATGTCTAGGGGCGCCGGTATAAAATATATACCTGCTCATAAAATTCAGGATTTCGCTGTAGATTTTTTTTTAAGTCTCAATTCTGTGTCCTTAGGGTCCATAAGTTGTAGTTCATGCAAAATTTTACTACAATTTAAATTATTTTATATACCGCCCCTCAAAGGGTTAACAAGGTGGCAAGAGGAAGGATGTGCTACACCAAAAATGAAAACTTGGATCAAAATTCTTTGGTTTTATTTCACATTTAATCCCCATAGCCTGTTATTTGTTTCGATTTTTAAATTTGAAACTATTGATTGCTTGAAGTGTTATGCAAGTCTCTGCATCACTAGCTTTAAGTAAGAATTAATGAGACATAGATTAATTTTGAAAGAAAAATTTAAAGAGATTTATTGTAAGTAGTTACTATTTTTTGGATGGAAAGGAAAAACAGCCAAATTAAAATACAGAGTTAAGAGGCTATTCCAGATTAAGTTAGAATTGATTAATGCATTTTTTTTTTATCTTACATGTATTTACATTATTAATTTTACTTAGTTCCTCAAACTTTACAAGAAGAAAAGAAAAAGACAGCTTTGTGCAAAAATATAATCTTAAAACTCCTGTATGAAAAGGATTCCTTTCTCATAATTTCATCAAATGTTATTTTTTTTTTTTTTATTGCAGATGACTAAACCCCTTAACCTGTGGTGGTCGCACCCTGAAACCACTAATTTTCGAATTTTCCCCCTCTTCTTTTCGAAATTTTTGAGTGAAAACTGATTGATTACTTAGCTTTTATCTCCAAATATCATAAAATGAGTGCAGAACCATATATTTTTTAGTCTTACTGCTTCTTATCAGATGCCTTATAAAATTTGTTTTAACAAGACAAAATAACTTCCTTTTATTAATATACACAACTTTAAATTTCAAAAGTTATTCATTGCACATCATCACTTCTATCATAAACAATAAAAATATAGCAATAATTAAACTGTATATATAAAAAAACCTGTGTATATTTATGGCATTTGGTTTGTGATTTCAGGGCACGACCAATGAGCCACTGCAGCACTGTGTCACAATGCTCCAGAGCAGCGGTTCTCAACCTTTTGACTGACGTGTATCATCTAAACAAAAATTGAAAACATTTAGTACCACCACTACAAAGTACTACTACCACCACCACTCTTGAACAAAGCTCAGATCGCATTAATTTACGAGTGTTATAGAAAAAACTCAATCAGGATTTTGGGGTTTTAATTTTGGAATTTAATAGTTAAAAATACTTTGCTTCTTTGCATACAACCTATTTTTCTCTTGTGTCCATCAGTGGTATACGTACCAATGTATGAGAAACCCTGCTCTAGAGGCTTAGTGGTCATGCCCTGAAACTACTGCTCTTCACAATGATGTTTGCTGCTTTAAAATAGGAGTATTTATTTTTACCCAGATATACATATAAGGCTTTGAAACCAGAGTGTTATTTCATTACTAAACAATATATACACCTGCCCAGAGAAATGTCTTTTTAATTCATATATTATTTTTTTCCAGGATCATAATATTTAATTTCTAAAATTTTTTACTTCATGTGCATCAGTGGGTTAATGAATTTTTTCTTTCATCTTTAATTTAAAAAGCATAAGTGCATTTTAAAATTACATTTAACATGTATCTTAATTACTGTGGTTCCTTCTGTCATCAGAGCATGCATCCCACAACACACAAGGGGGAAATTTTACAGTAGAAAAATTCCAGAGAGGTTTTTTATTCATGCAAATATAATTTCTACAGCAAAAATGCCTCATATATTTTAATATACAAAACATGCATATCTATTAAAATATGCCTTTCTCCATTCCCAAATATTTCACTTTATTGCAGAACTCAGCTGAAACTAAAATTCCAGAATATATGACAGTTACAAAAATGCAGTGAACACATTGCGGTTCCATAGGCAATAATGTTTCACACATTCTATATACAATGTATGCATTTACAAACCAAAATGCATGACACAGTCAGAAATATAATTTAAAATTATTTTCTTAGAAAATACACAACTGTATAAAATTGCATTCTAACTTACTTCCCAGATACTTTGTTCTACATGCTTATCTTGTCTATTAACTCTATTTTTAATCTTATTATTTTTTTTTAAACTTTTTTTTTTTTTTAAATAGGAAGAAAATCAAATAATACATATGTAAGTTTATAACAACATAGAAAAAAAAAAAAAAAAAAAAAAAAGACTGTTGTATACAGTAGTTCATTGTTCAAGAAGAAAGCTTAAGTAGTTCATCACTGAGAAGTCTGTCCTTGTTGCACAGAATCTCCAGTTAATAAATAAACAGTTCTGAGTATGAATACAGACAAGAAAATTTTCTTTATGTGACACTTCTTAAAACAAACAATAGAAAAAAAAGTTGCATGATAAGAACTTTAATTTTAACTGATCAATTTAATAAGCTTTTCATAATATTAAATTCATGTTATAAACTATTAAATGCTAATTACACAGTCCTCAAATAAACTGAGAATTCACCTTGCTTTCTATTATAAAAAATTGTCAATACACCAAACATAATATTTATAGAAACATTATTCATTCATTTCTGTTTCTTAACTCATATATTTTCCCTCAATATAATGCCAATAATGTTCAATATTCATATGTTTCCCAAAGCCAGAATCACACGTAATTACTAGTCTTACATAAATGAATGATTATTACCAATCATATTATATAGTACAGTAAGTGCCCTGAAGTTAATGCAATTTATCAGTCAAAGTATTTTATATTAAAAGATTTTTTTTTTTACTAATTTAGTATAAGAGACTGCAATTCTTAGGTTTAATTAATTAAGGATTTAATTTTTTTCATATTGTTACCATGAAAGTAAATGAAATCTTTAATCAATTAAATTTAAGAATCGCAATCTCTTATACTAAAATACTAAGGCTTATTAATTACTTAAACAATCCATTAATTAAATCTTACGTACAGAATGTGATCATTAATATTAAATAAAATAAAAAATATGTGCTACAATGCATTATAGCACATATTCTTATAAAATATTTCAACTTGAGGGAAAAAATAGGAAAATGGAGCAGCTACTGCCCTCATACTGTATAGTTCTAAGGGACAATAAGAATCATGTTTTGCAACAAACACTGCAGCTATACTACGAAAAAAAAAAAAAAAAGAAAGAGGGGGGCAGTTCTGTATTTCCCCTTCTACTGGGCCGATTGACAAAATTCAAATTGCGTTTTTCATATCTCGAAAGTGCAACTTGGGATATATATTCAATTTATATATAGCTTTGTTCTAATATAAGTATTTTGACACAAAATCGGACTTTTTCTGAAATAGTATGCCACTTTTTTTCCATATTTCGATTCTATGACTCAAATTATGCCTAAATATTAAATTTTGTAAAATTTGGTGCTAAACTTATGAAGAAATTCAAAGATTTATCTTGGCATATTTTTTTCAGTTTGCACCAAGAATGAACTTGGTAGATGTCTTAATTTATGACAACCTATTTTCCTTTCCCTTTTTACATTGTGCAGGAGAGGGAAAAAAGTGACATTGTTATTACTTTCAAATAATTTTAACAAAGTGCGTAACCCACATTAGATGTTATTATCACTTTTAACAAATATGCAAATATCACAATGCAGCAATATATATGCATTCACACCGCTCTAAATGATGAACAGCCACTAAAAATCAAGTTACAGTGCTGCGCAAAGTATAAATTCACATACATCTTCAGAAGTTTTGAATAAAAAGTTCTAATTTTTTGAAGGTATGTTTAGAAATACATCTACTTTAAGATGATGGTAAAATTTCATACGTTATAATTCAAAAATTTTTTTCAAAAAATTTATCAAAATTATTTAAAAATACAAATTTAAAAAATAAATCATAAAAAATGGGTGAATTTTTTTGGAATGAACCTAAATTTCGAACTGTGAAAGGTGGAATCGAATAAGTGTAATAAAAAAGAGATATTAATAAATACATACCAAATTGAATTAACATTGAAGAGCTAATTAACCCTCCGAGCATTACGGGTTTAGCCCTGAAATTTCAAAGTTCTTCAAAATGTCATGAATAAGTGGTATTTTCTTGATTCTAATTAAAAAAATGACTCTCTTAGTTTGTACCTTGATTCCTTTTCTTCCAATATACATCCAAACCGAAATCAGATACATTCAAAACTAGCAGAAATATTCATGTATAATGAATATAGAAGGCAGCCTTCTATGCGAAATTTTCTGCCCGCAACGCTGAGAGGGTAAAAAAAAAAAAAAAAAAAAAGAAAAAGAAAGAAAGAAAAAAAAGAGAGAGAGAGAGAGAGAGAAATACTCGCATGATTTTTACAAAACTCGACAGTTTGGCACAATTTGAGTCGTAGAATCGAAACATGGAAAAAGATTCGCATGTCTTTCAGAAAATGTCCGATTTTGTGTCAAAATACCTATACTAGACCAATGCTATATAAAAATCTAATACATATCCTATATTGTGCTTTCAAGACATGAAAATGCAGTTTGAATTTCATCAATTAGCCTAGTAGAACGGGAGATATATAACTGTCTCATTTTTTTTTAGTCAATGCATACAATAATACATACATCTGTATTGAATATGTATTATTGTGATCATGATTGGGATGCAGAAGGAAGCCAAGTTACTTTGTGCATTCATGCTGCTGCATGTTGTCATACTATATTTTACTCTAACTTGACATACACCCTACTGAACCAATGAATATTAGGGCACAACTGTAGTTAACTTAAATATTAGAGAGTAATATAAATATTTTACAAAAGGTTTTAGCTTTTCCTGATATTTTTTATTAGCTTACAAATAACACGAACCAGTGTATTATTGAAATTCTAGACAGTAATGTTTTTGTCACATTTAAAAGACACATGAAGCTCTGCATAAATTTAGTTTAATTAAGTTTCATTAGTCTGCAGTTTCAGTTCACAGAGAATATCTAATGAGAGGCACACTTTGCTTTTTGAATGATTAAATATTTAAAAAGAGTAAAAATTTTATCTTAATGAAAATCTGAAAAGCACAGCACAAATCATATGTAAGCTTTTCACAAAAAATGAGAAAAGCTTTCTCAGAAAAATGGCCAGCTACTGTGTCAAGCGCTGGCTTACATCTGGAAAATTTCACAAGATTTGATTTAAAAAAAAATCTCACTATTTAACACTCAAATTCAGATGCAGTAATTGCATTCAAATCTTTCATCAAACCTTCAAGATTAGCCATTTCTTGATTCAAATGTTCAGTGCTTTCAGAGGGCTAAAAATGAAATAATAATAATAACAATGTTACCCAAAATATCACAGTAATTTAAGATTAGAAACTCTTAATCAATATTTTGGGAAATTTCCATCATAAATCTCAGATTACAAATGAACATTTATAAAAATGAAATTCCTAAGAATTTTGAGTTACACATATACATGAAATGCAACAAAATCATTTGTAACAAGTTCAAAGATAACATGTTATACTCTAAAAAGGAAAAAGAATAGAAAAGAATATATAATCAATCAAAATCGCAATAACAACCTTGTATTTAGTGTACATATATTAAAACACTCAACCGATTTTGAGGGCAGCTAAAGGTCCCACCTCATCAGGAGAACAAAATTACTAAAATGGGGAAAAAAGAAGAAAAATAAAGCATCAGCAAAGGAGTCTCAGAAACACGTGGTCGTTATCAGCACTGCACATGCTCGTAACTGGATTTTGAACCAGAGTTATACTGGTCGCCTACTTTTACTGAGCCAGGCTATCTGGTCAAACATATGATTATTTTGCATTTTAGTCTATGTGTTATAGTAAAAGTAGGCGGCGGGTGTAACTCTGATTCAAAATCTGGTTATGACCACGTGCAGTGCTGATAACGATCACATGTTTCTGAGACTCCTTTGCCGATGCTTTATTTTTCTTCTTTTCCCCCCTTTCTAGTAATTTCGTTCTCCTGATGAGGAGGGACCTTTAGCTGCCCTCGAAATCCATTGAGTGTTTTAATATATGTATGCTAAATACAAGGTTGTTATTGCGATTTTGATTGTCACATTGGCGTGTTTCTCTTCTATTCTAATATATAATCACTCACTAAACAACAGCTTACTATACATTTCAAGTACAATTACTTTTAATAGAAAAGAGACAAATGATTTTGCACAGGAATATGCTGATTTTATGCACATAGTGCGATTCTTTAACAAAATGTGAAATAATTATTCAATAGATACACAAATTAAAGATTTCACAATTAATTAGATATTACAAATTAAAGCATGCTAATTTGATTTTTTGTTTGTACTATAAGAGATATCCAACTCTTTGTAGTTGTGCTTTGTTAATTCTAAGGAAGAAGCTCAGTAGGAAATTACACGATTGGTAGAAAATGAAATGTTGTTAATGATCATGTGACACCCCCACTAATGTGACAGAAAGTTAGTGAAGAAAATATACAGTATATGAAGGCATTATTCACACTGACACAAAGACTTTTTTCCCCTCACAGAGTTGTATGATAAGCATACCTTCTTTAAAATATTTAAAGTTAAATTTTAAATATCAAACAAGGCAGCTATATGCAAACCAATTAAAAAAATGGCCTCAGAATGTGCTAAAAGGAACTGCTTGCATCTAAACGCCAGTTTCATTACCTGTAGTGAGACTGTATGTACACAGGCGACATTAAAGACATCAAAAGAATTACACAATTACAGCCTTCTTTAATTTCACTTGTAAAGTATTCATTACAAATCCTTGACACTAAATGCTGCACAGTACATACACAGAGTTTTACAATGGAGGAGAAGATTTTGTTTCCAAAATTAATATTTCTAACAGTAATAATAATAATAATATATTAAAAAAAAAGATTTTAAATCACCAGACTGCAAGTTTAGTAAGTTGCCATATTATGTGTGCATCCTTTTTAAGTAAACATATATATTAAAGTGGTAAACAGTTTCGCATAGCATGTCTTCTAAGAGTACAAGAGATATGGAATAAATACACTTTAGTGAAAGTGCATTAGCAAAGTTTTCATGACAGGTAGACAGACCGGTAATGTGAATAGGTATCTTTGATAAATTTTCTAACAGGTGATTTCTAAAGTTTAGCAAGCTCAAGAGCATAAAAACACACATTTTACAGCATTCAGTTGACTAAGTAGTGAGCAGCAATAAAATCAAATAACAAACTGATATATCTTTCATTTCTTTCTTATCCATTTTTGTATTGCAAGCAAATAAAATCTGCTTCCTGTATATGAATCTTCCTAATTTTGAAATATGCTGCATATGTATCATCTCTTTCCAATACACACACATCCAAGAAAAAATTCAAGAAACACATCCAAGACATCCAAGAAACAGAGTTCTAACCTACAAACGAATAATCTCATAATTTCTTTACAAGGAATTGTGGAATCTATGAAAAATGTTTGTATGGTAGTTAACACATTCAGCAAGCAAACTGAAGACCTGTGGTTTGATCCCCAGAGAGGCACCGTTGATTAAAATTTTTTGCCCTATAAATACTTAATAATCTCCATACAGATGCCCAAACTATAATGCACAAAGTTATAACTTGTAATACCTGGATTTAATAAACTGGGTCTCATACCTCTGCCCAAACATTTATTTAAGCAAAAGGCGAACATATAGAATTATGGCATTCCTTCCATGTGCGTTCTTATGACAATGTGATCAGCACATCCAGTTTGCAAACTAGAATATCTGTGGTTTAATTTCTGGCAAAGGTGCATGTGACTATGTATGTACTTTTTGATTTTCAGAGTTTTATCACATCTTCCTCGCAGTTCTCAGATGATGTTCTACTCAACACTGACATCAGCTTCTCAGTCAATAGAATTTCTACAGAGGCACAAACTACCACATTTCTCTTTTTTTTTCTCACTTCAGATCACTGTCAGCTGGAGAACTTCACTTATGGATTGATTCTTTAAACATCAAGGAACTCATAAGAGAGGAAAAATATCTCCTCCTGAAAGTCAGTATACCAACAAAGTGTCAAAGATTCTCACTCATTTTTAGAACTTTAGTAACTCTCAATTGATTTAGATTTAGAAAATTATTCTCATATAAGGAACATTTAAGCGTAATTTGGAATTGTATTTTGAAGATTTTGTTTTAGGATAAACTGCATAAGTATCATCTTTCTATATCTCTGTTTTGTCTTCCCAAGTAGAAATAGATGAAATAAAGTATTTCTTAGTATACCATTTTTCCTATTTTGGAATTTTCCTTTCCTTACTTTTCCCACTTTTTCTATTTCCCTTGCGATCATAATTTAGTTGACACTGATATTTTTCATTTACATTTTCCATGGGGTAACGCTTAATAAGAACATGAAGCTATTGAACTCTAATTAGGATTTCTTTTAATAATGCTCTTCTCAATTTTAACTTCATACGACAGTTCAGTACCTTATGATTCTTCACCTCATCAGCCACTAAGCAGAGACCTCACCAGTGGACATAAGGCTGGAAACACTGGTAGTTCAACTTGATGGCAAAGAACAAGTATGTCGCATGAACATTTTCATAGTGTGTAATATGAATATGAGAAAGTGTCTTTTATATAAAAGAAAATGAACTAGCTTCCAGTTTCTCAGCCCTACGTTTAGAACTATAGTCCTCCACAAAAGCATAATTTCCCTTATGCAGATAAGAGAAGTAAGTATTGTCATAATGAGGTGGGGGTAAAAATTCCAATAGTTCTTTCAGTTCTGATGATCTATATGACTAACCAGTATAATATTGTGATTCAAAGAAAAATATCACCCCCAAAAATGTAATATCGGAGCCAGATTGCCCTCTCCATCTCTCATGCAGCTATACACTGCATTCCTGTTTCTTTTTTCTTTTCTTTTTTTTTTTTCTGCCCATAGGATGGCAAAAGACATTCATTTTTCAAATAGCAGTAAAAATTCACTTAAGAGGTACTGCAAAAACTTTAACAATTCATTAAAATTTTTGAAACATTTATTTCTTATTCAGTTTTAGAGAAATCTTTTAGTACAAAGTAAACTTTAACTGATGTAATCAAACAATGAATTTAATCACTTAAATGTAATTTCCAGGACACTGGCTTAACAGCTCACATTTTCTGCATTCCAATGCATAATATAATATTATATAAAATGTGTGTATATATTAAAATTAGCACAATTTAACAAATGTATATTATGTATATAATATATATATTTGAAACATACCTGAACACCAGATGATACCTGTAAATTTACTGAGCGAGTTGAGTCATTTTTTGGTAAAAGAGATGATGCACTTGGACATAATTTTGAGGATGTCTGTGGTAAGTTTGATGATGCCTGTAAAATGGCAGAGGATTCAATAGGTGTACGAAGTACCACCTTTTTATGAGGACTGGAAACAATGGCAGGAGATTTAAGTGCTGAAAAAAAAAAAAAAAAAAAAAAAAAAAAAAAAAAAAAAAAAAATTGGTAATAAATAACAGTGTGTGTGTGTGGGGGGGGGGGGGACTTTCATCATAATGCTTCTAAGTGTTCAGCTTATAAATTTTCATGTATATGAAGCCACTCTTAAATTTTGGAAAATTTAAATACACAGTAAGCTATAACAATTTACACTTTTCACAATACTACTGATAAAATTTATGCAGCATTTAGATTATTACACCAGACAGAAAATGATAAAAGGATACTTTAAATTTTTTTTTTAAAGGCAACAGAATAAAATAATACAGATGTTATTTGGAATCATCAGGACTTCAGCAATGAAAATTCAGATTTTGGAAATTTTTGGATTTAAGTCCTCACTTTAAATCTAGTATGCTGATATGTACAAATTATAAAATAAAAAATATGAAAAAGCTTTTTTAACACTTTTGCATCAATAGAGACCAAAATATGTTTCACTCAAACATCTAAAATGCTCGTATGTATGTATTTTTGTTGGAATGGATTCCCCCTCCCTCCAGCCAAGTAGAATGCTACAGTAACCTACTTAAGTAAAGCGAAAACTTCTCTTTGGGATCTCCATGTGCTTTACACTGTATGCCGTTTTCTCTTAGAGGATTGCAATTTCAGGCATTAATAACTAAACAAAGGAGGAAAAAAGGCGCATTCAAATAATAGAATTACTTCTAGTCGCTTTAAAAGAATGACTGGCATGTCATTTAACAACACCCAAAAAAAATGAAACACACACTAATGTGATGGAGGAAAGCACCAGGTAGAAAATAAGAAAATAATTCAGGCGTTTGGTTGACCTGCCGATGTCTGAATAGTCGGGTGTTTCGGGGGACTTCAACATGAAAGAGTTAAAATAATGAAGTATTTATGAACTTACGGGAATCAAAATTTACAGATAAAACATTTATTTGTTTCATTAAACATTTCTTATAGTGGAAGTTGTTTAATCTGTTTTGTTTTTAGTATTAATATTTTCTCTTTAATTTTATAGACAGATAGAATTTATTTTTGAGTTGCAAAGTTCCATTGTTCTGCAAATGTTCTGAAATCTGAAAATTCCTATTAAACTGTCAATTGAAATCTTTTCATTTGCAAACACCTCTTTATAAGTTTTTTTGATGGTAGTGATATTTTCTGATTAACAAGTATACTACACATTTCATTTTTAGTATGGCTGTGAATCGAGAAAACTGGATCGCTGGTTGGAGCATTGTCATTTCAATCAAAAACTTCTATTATCTCATTTTCATTTATTATCAATTTGCTATATTTTTTCCCGAATTCCACTGACCCCAAAATTTTGCTTTCTTTAGCATTCAAAATCAATGGCAAAAAATGCTTGCTATTTCGCCTAATTTTGAAACTGTATTTTGCCCAAATTACATCTACACCATTTTTTCTCACCAAGGTTGCTATAGAAGGCAAGTACCAAATATGCTTTTGCTTTGCAGATCCTGCTACAGCTTCAGAATCAGTAACTCTGAATAATCAAAAATTCAAACTTTACTTTTGATAAATAATTGCAATAATTGCAATAATAGCATGTAAAAAATAAGAAGTTGGATCAAATTATAAAGTTAAAGAAGAGCACAATTTTCTATGTTAAGTTCTTTGAAATCTAATTCTCTGTTTCCCACAGCTAGGCCAACAAAAGAAAATAATTATAAGAAACATCCCAAACTAACCACACTTAAGTCCATATATCTTAGGACTTATTGTTTAAGTCAGACAGGAAAATCTTACTCCCCCAACCGTTCAAGGCTCAAAACATAATTACGGCTAATATTAATCAATATCATTTTTATCACTGCCTATGGATTGATTTTGTAGGCAGCAGATGTCTGAAAGTCGCAAATAGGAATTTCTATTAATCAAAAGAAAAATCGCTGCTAAGGTACACATACTTTTTGTCGGTTACAGCCGAAAACATCGCGGAGAAAACAACGCAAGGCAAAAACGTCGTGCTACAAAACATCGTGGGAGAAAACATCGCAGTCCTAAAACATCGTCGTCGGAAATAAAGCGGTTCAAAAACTTCGCAGTTTAAAAACATCGTTGTCGAAAATGTCGCGGTAAAAAATAAAGTATCTACAAATCATCACATGACGATAACATCGCAGATATGCTTTTTTCAGACATGCTTTTCGCAGACATTCTTTAATAACTGTAAATTTATGTTCCCATAATGTTTGTGAGTGCAAGATGGAAAGAAGGATAATTTTTACTTTCATATTTTTTTATTAACTAATAAATTTTTGCTGAGAAAATAAGAAGGAAACTTAAGCATAGAAAACTAATGCAACTTATAGCACTTAATGGAATTTTAAACCGACATAGTTAACTAACAAAGGCCATTAATAAATAATTTTTGTAATGCTTTTACTGGTAATTTTTTATGAAAAGTATAAGCTATAAGTTGCATTTAATTATCTATATTTAAGTTTCCTTCTTACTTTTTCAGCAACTTAAAAAATTGTGAAAGTAAAAATTATCCTTCTTTACATCTTGCGCTCACAAATCATTATGGGAATATCCATTTCCAATTATTAAAACCTGGAAAAAAAAAAAAAAAATGTCTGCGATGTTATCGTCATGCGAGGATTTGTAGATACTTCATTTTTTACCACGATATTTTCAACGACGATGTTTTTAAACTGCGAAGTTTTTGAACCGCTTTATTTTCGACGACGATGTTTTGTACCATGATGTTTTAGAACTGCGATGTTTTCTCTTTGCGATGTTTTGTAGCACGACGTTTTCTCCTTGCGTTGTTTTCTCCGCGACGTTTTTGCCGCGATGTTATCGGCGGACACCTTTTTGTCGAACATTATATTATCCACTTCTAGATTTTGTTATTAAAAATAGTAATAATAACAATTTAAATTAAAAAAATACTCTTAAAACTTTTCTTTCCCCCTCTGGTGATATGCAGGTCTGGATATTGGATGCTTAGATAACTGTTCTACACATACAAACTCCAAACATTATTCAAACTGAAAAATGCTAGAAATTTTCTAAAAATAAAAATTACTAAACCCATACAGAATAAATGTTGTCTAATTTTATTTAAATTTAAAATAGAATATTTTATGAACCTGAATTTAAAAATAAAGCAGAGCAAAAGAAAATTAAGCAAAATAACTTTTTCATCTGACTATTTACGTCACATGATTTATTCCACATTCAAAAAGAAGAGAATATTCTATGGATAGATTATAACCCATATTTTATTTAAAAATTCAAATTTATTTTAAAATCAGATTTGAAGTTCCACATGTTTCCAGTGGCTGATATTTAAATTTCTTTAGGGAATTCAAAAGGGAAAAAAAATGGCCTATAGAAGATTGTTGTATTTTGATTATCAAAACCTACCCAAAAAGTTCAGTCTGTATATGACCTCGGCAATAAATCAAAAGTTCTCAAAGTATTTCATTAACCATCCAATCATTATGGGTTTAGCCTTGAAATTTCAAAATTCCTCAAAATGTCAAGAATAAATGGTATTTTCTTGGTTATAATTAAAAACTCTGACTTTGTACCTTGTTTCCTTTTCTTCCAAAATATATCCAACTGGAAGTCAGGTACATTAAAAGCTAGCAAAAATTTTATGAGTAATGAATAAGAGTGATACCCTTCTAGATTGAATTTTATATCCACAATGCTGAAAAGGGTTAAAGTTACATGAAAAAGTAAAATTCCATACATTTATTAAACTGACACTATTACAAGCAAATTAGTACCACAAGATTTTCATGGTATTGCAATTTTCATAAATAGTTAGGAACTAGAAAACAATTTTTTCTTCTTACAAATATGCTTCGACAAAGGTGTTGCAGGGACACTTTGTGATGGGGCTCCAGGAACTGTGAAACTACGAAGAGGATGTTGGAGACCAGATTGCTTCTTACTTAAAGTATTGGAATTGCTCTGCTCAGGATTCTCATGTACAGATGAAATAAATGTTACTGAATGACTGGCATCTGAGACTATATTGTCTGTCTCGTATGAAGAGCCTGGACACTGTGAAACCTCTGCAACTTGTGGAGGAGGTGGTGGTTCACCTACAATAGTCAAATATGAAAAAAAATTACATGTTAAAAAAGTATTAGTTCGCAAATATTCAAATGGAAAGAATCTACAACTCAATAGTTACAAGAAATTTTATGGAGAATCTGCGGCACAATTTAAAAACTATTTAATTAAATTTTTTTTTAAATGTACTCTTAGCCACAGTTTCCCAATTTTAAAATTGACATTAATCATTTCAAATTATTTTAGATTTTTTACAAAACACAAGTTTTTTTAACTTCAAAATTGCCTGGATAAGTTATAATTTATTTTAATTAATTATTATGTCTAGCAATCTCAACAGCATTTGCAAGTTTTGGAAGTCCTTTTTTCAACCTAAAACGTTTTGTTTTATATATATATGAGAAAAAGGATCAAAATATATATGCATGGAGAGAAGGGGGAACTTATTTTTCTGAGTAAGACACTATATCATGTATCTTGTACTAAATTTATTTAAGTAACTGTTATGTTTATTAAAGCAACTTTTAAATCCAGCAGCTAAAAACAATTTGCTGTTTTAAAATTTTATAAAAAAGTACGAAATACTTCAATAGCTGGAATATTTCTGAGAAGTTAAAGGTAAATTTAATTTTACATTCTATAAATTATGACATTCAAAGACTGATCTGCATAAATTTTTTTTTTATATAATTCTAAATACTGGCCGACACAACAGAAAAAAATAAATAAATAAATAAAAAAATTAAAAAGCTAGCAACACAGGAAGATAATCTTCTGTTAATAATCTTAATACTTTTTGTTAAATGAAATAATACACTGGTGTACAAAACATAACGGGTGTTCCTTTTGCATAACTCCACAACAAATCATCTGAGAGACATGAAATTCAGAAACGACAGAGAGCATTTTGTATTCAAACTATGACGAAAGCATAGTTGTGCAAAAACAAATACAATGCATACAGTGTGGAATCAAACAAAAAGAGGCTTTATTGAACTCGCAGTATCATTACACATGAATGTCTGTACAAGAGGAACAACAACAAGCAGATGTTCCTTAGAGATATGCCCTCAAGTTGTTTCACACCATCTTCATACTCAGTACCACACTGTCCAACACATCTTGAGGTAAGAGTGCCCATTCAAGGCCATCTTGATGACAGAAGGCCGAATCCAAAGGAGTTCTCCCCGCATGTGACGTCATGAATGAGGGCAATCATACTAAGGCCATCTTCAAACAGTATGAGTGAAAACAGATTGTGCGATTAAGCTAGAAATTATGTAGCATTAACTATGCCTTAACTATATTAAATTTAACTTTTAGCAAGATGTATTGAAAGTTTTTTTACTAGCACACTTTAAAGTTTTCCTTTAATTAATTCTGTTTGGCCTTTGGAATTAGTTCGTGATACAAAACAAACACTTTTATAATAAATATAAGCTAAAGAGATTCTTCCCCCCATATTTATCCATATTCTAATCATTCTTATTACATATGCCATAACACTCATGTTAAATATTATAATAATCCAGTAAATTTCTTTTGTATCTTTCATTTTCAAACCATGCATCAAACACGAATCTCATAATGCTTTATTAGAATAATTCCTTCTTCTAATTTTGACAAGAATAATAATATTAAAAAAAAAAAAAAAATTAAAAATATGAGCTCAAGCTTTTATACTTATTTTGTACACTCACTAAGCTTAAACAGGGTTTTATTAATAATTAAAGTCTACAGCATATTAATTAATATAGCATTCAATAATTCATTGTAATACTTTTTTAGTTATTAATTTTTTAGTTATTTAATTACGGTGCATAATTGAATTAAGGTGTTAATTGAATTTTTACAGATGCCATGAAAATGTAGCGTTCCGGGATGCAAATTAAATTACTATCCATATGAACAGCATATTCCAATGTTTAAGTTTCTCAAAGGTGAACTACTGTGTAAAACATGGATTGATAAAATTAATAGGAAAGATTTTGTACCAGGATCATGTTTGTTTGCATGAATGCTTTTGTTTGCATTTTGACGGACGTTTTATCATAAGAGATGATAAAGCGACACGACCTGATGGGACAGTTTTAACACTTCAAAGAAAAGTGCCAGTTTTATCAAAAGATGCATATCCGACTATTTTTTGCGGTCAACATAAATATTTATCTTGTCCTTTACCACAAAAGTGAAAGACACTAGAAGACAGGACAAGAGAAATAAAGGAATGGTGTGAAATTAAAGAAAACTGTGTGCTGCAGAGAACATTGCCTCCTTTTAGAAATTTTTGAAACTTTACAACAATAAATTATCAAATACAAGGGCAATAATGAAAACATCTGATTATATACTTTTTTTGCATACTGAGATGCATTATGCCCAGCAGTGATGCATCATTTAAAGTCGAGCATGATTCAACTGTTTCAGTTTTTCATGAAAGTTTAAACACAACAAATGTTTTAATGGCTTTTGGGAAAACATCTACTATGTAATAAATGATCAAAATTTGAAAACCTCTCAAATCATTTGTACAGTTATAAGAAAACATAAAAAATAGTCGAAGAAATGCTGGATTTGGCAACAAACTCTTCAGAAGTGTTCTGAAAATACATCAGAACAAATTATGATATACGATTAAATATTTTACGGAAAAAAAATTTCATTATTGAAAGCTAAACGCCCAACTTACACAGCTGAAATGATGACATGAAACTACACATCATTTTACAGCAGTCCTACATGTTATTCTTGAATATGAGAAAGCTCATCCTTGATTTTATGGCATCCTTTCTACTTAAAAAAGTTAACATTAAATGTTGCGTACTTAAGAGATAAATACTTTTGCATTTAACCTTGTTGTCCAGGGTTAAATGCAAAGTACCGTAATTTCGCACGTATAGTTCGCACGCAAGATTTTATATAAAAAAAATTTCAAAAATCGTCAGATAGTCCGCGGACTATACGTCCGAAATTACGTTTTTTTAATATGGCAATATTCCCATGCTTTTTAAACACATCCTTTGTTTGCGCCAATTTCTCACCGCTTTCTCGTCCACTTCAAAATAACGGGGTAAAATCCAAAAATGATCCAAAGAACGTCTATATATATACTATGCACTATATACTATGTGTGTATATACATAGTATGTATACTATATATGTAGTATATACTATGTTAAACTATATATATATTTTTTTAAATGACCCGTTAACTACTCATCGTATATGTCCCGTTTTTTACTGCTCCATCATAAAGTCGCCAAAAGTAGCCAAATCCCCCGCGTGCACCGCTTTCTCGTCCACTTCAAAATAACGGCCCGCTTCTCTATTTCCATCTTTTTCAGCTTTCTCAACTAACCTTGAGTTTAAACTCAACAGCAGTAAAACTCCGGGGATGTTTCATGTTTCATTAACGTTATCGAAGATAAAAGAAAAATACGAAAACAAAATAAAATACGAAAACAAAATACTGTGCAACGTGCTATTACTCGTGATAAGTGGTAATGAAATGTGACCTTCGACCCCACTCACTCGTGTGCCAAACCACCCTTATAAGTAAACGAATCACGCTTTTTTTTTTTTGTACTCCAGGTACTTGCTACTATGGCTCCTTAAAACCGAGCTGAACTGCAAATCAACTACTTTCCCCCCCTCCGGCAGTTGCACTAAAGCAGTGCGAAGGATACTTTGGATACAAGACTTTGGTTGCGCTAAAGTGAGTGTTCATACAAGACTTTCTTTGGCTCATATCCCGGCATCGCTTGATGCACCAGCTTGGATTTTAGGAGCTCTACTTGCTCTACTTCGTTCTTCTGCACTATGCTCTATGATTTACTATCGATACGATACTACGAATATTTTCTTGAATATTTTGAATCTTGTTTGCGCTTTTTTTATTTTGATTTTCATCGTGAACATCTCCGGCAGTTCAGACAGCGTAGTTTTTTAAATTTCAATGATTTTAACCGTGAACAACCAGCGTATTATCCGCACTGGTGGATAGTCCGCAGCTTCAAAACTTTGCATTTTAAACACAGATAGTCCGCGGACTATACGCGCGAAATTACGATACTTATCTCATAAATATTCACAACTACGAAATCATGAAAAGGTTAGTAATCTTTTACTTGATGAGATTCGTATTAAACTTACTATTGCATGTAAGAATGGTAAAATTAAAGGTTTGTCTTGTGCAGATGTGCCTCAAAAAGTTCAAACCATTATGATTTCTTGAATCTTATCTTCAAATAAAGAAGATGTTGCAATGTTTCCTGTCCATAATCTCAACCAAACGATTTAAAAATTCAGACTTTACAGGTGTTATAATTTTTTCATGATTGTGGCTTCGAGGTTGTTTCCATAATTTCTGACAACAACCAGGTTAAACATAAATGCTATGGAATAGTCATATGGTGTCTGCTATTGAAAATTAATTTTATTTGGGAAAAAAACAGATTTTTTTCACTGTTTAATTTAGTTAATTAAATGTATAAGGAATAATAGGTTGAACCAAACTGAAACCAATCAAACCATTTTTTAATGATACAGATAATAAGCTGTATTATGCAAGGCTATTGCATTTGAAACAATTATATACTATAGAGCAGCACCATTCTACACAAATAGCTCCAACACTTTTGAAAAAAGTATTATATCTAACCTCATTAGAAAGGCAAAATGTTTCTACTGCCGCTAAACATTTTGATGAAAAGACTGTTGTAGCAGTTAGGGTTTCCCTTAGTTCAATTAACAAATAATTCAAATTTTTGATAATAATGATCATTTTAAAAAACAAACAAAACCCCAGAAATTTAAAAATCAATACTTATTGACACATTAATTTAATATTGGTAATTTTGAGTATCTTGTTGAAGACATTTCAGTGAGTATTTAAATTTATGAAATAAATGTTTGGTTATGAAAATGAGTTTTTCTTAATTACTGCAAATTTTTACATTGAACATTTTTCTATATGAGTCTATGAAAAACAATAGCAAAATGAATCAATATGTCAAAAGCTATGTGTAAATCAAATAATGAAGAAATGGAAATCATTTATATCCCTATGTTCCCAGATTAATTTAAAAGTAACATATTTTTATCTTAAAATTATCTGATATAAACAATTAAATGTAAATATTGATAAATCTTATATCTAAGAGATACATAACTCTCTCTTGAATGTTAGTCTCTTTGACTTGACGTGAAATATTAATATTTGCAGCTCTCAAATTTCTGGCTACGATTTTTTTTACATGAGACAGCAAAAACATAGTTTCTGGTATTGCTTGCAAAATGTAAGTGAAAATATTTAGTTTTGAATGCTAGTCACACTGTTGTTAAAAATTTGATATAATATTCATTCTAATTAGTTTAAAACTATTTGAGTTTTCAGTGTTTAATGCTATTAAACTACATATAATGGTACTTAACCAAAGATATATTACTGTACAGAATGTCATTGATTAGCAAGCAAAAATTAATATTATTTGAGAAACTCCTCTCAGATGCAATCCTGCTGTCTAAGTGTAAAAGATCAGTAATCCATTCTTCAGTATTTTTCTTAAATATTGTTTATAGGAAGAGAAGAATATATTTGTTTCTCATATATTACCAGGAAAAGAAAGATCATTTTGGCTGACCGCCCTTGGCTGTGACGTCACCAAATGTTAGCATCGGCATTCTCCCATTAAGATGGCCTTCACCCATTCCTCAATCAGCATCCAATTTCAGTTGTTGGGTATTCCCTGGGAGATGTAATTGTGCTGCAAGGCATCTCCCCAAAGCATCCCACACATGTTCAATGGGATTTAAATCAGGGGAGTAATGCAGGCCAATCTATTCAAGTGATATCTTCACTTTCTAGTAGTTTCTGAACAGCAGGAGTCCAGTGTAGCCGTACACTGTCATCCTTAAAAATGCAGTTTGCTCCAATGGCACCTCAGAATAGATGCGCACGGGGAAGGATCACCTCAACAACAGCGATTCTCTGGTTACAGAACCTCTGTCGAAAATATGGAGCTCTGTCTGCCCATTCAGCATAATGCCTCCCTAGACAAGAACTCTAGGACCACCATAACGGTCTCTTTTTGTGATGTTACTTGGATGAAAGCGTGTCAGAGAATCGCTTGCGACTCCAAAACGACTCTCATCCATAAAGAGGACATGATTAAATTTATAAGACTTCCAGATTTTGTACTCCTTGCACCATTCTAAACGGTGGTGCCGACCGCCAACTTTCAAAGGGATGCAGCATTCAGAATGGCAGGTAAGCAGGCCACCTTTCTGAAAGCGTCTGTACACAGTAAACCGTGACACTTGTCACCCCATTGCTGTACACAGTTGCTGAGCTATGAAGTTTGCTGACTGGTTTTCGGCTCTTTTCACCTGCAGGATGATATATAGATTATCCACTGCAGTTTTTTTCTAGAGCGGCCACCATCAACCTTTTTAACTGCTGTACCTATAGTTTGAAAGGCTCTCCAAGCAAGCAAAATGACACTTTTGTTGATTCCAAACTCTCTGGCTACACTGGTCACATTACACCACTCCTCCAGCTTCCCAATCATTCTTCCACATACGAAGTCATTCAGGTGATTTCTTCTATCCATATTTCACGAAAGAACTAACTTGCAGCGAATGTCTTTAATTGTGTCTCCGTCCTTCCTTTTATTGTAGTCTTGAGCTGACCGCACACATTTTGCATACGCTCACGTCGCTTGTGACATTTTGTTCCTGACATCTGCATATGCATGACCTTTCTACTGAATTGCGTGTTCATTGCACTGATTGCATAAACTTCTTTTCCACAATTTCATGGATATCTGATTAAAATTTACATTGCTGCTTAAGCTTTGCACACCAGTGTATATAATTCCGACTTGAAAGCATAAACAATATCATCAAAACAACAAAAAGATCAACTTTATTAACAAAAAGAACATTTTTTAAAAACAAAAAAATAACATACCTAGCTGATGTCCATCATGAATAATAGGATTTCTGTTAATGTTGTACTGTGTTCGAGGATATAGAGGTCGTCCCAAACTATTAGTTCCCAGATCATAACTATTTTGATTTAATCCACTACTTGAACAGGTTATGACAGATGCTGTAAAAGCAAATACAAGCAAAATAATTATAAAAACAATTTCTATCAATACTAAAGCTAAATGAATTAGAAATTAACATTTAAAACTACTTTTTTCATTAAAAATGAGTCTACAAAAAAGCAGGAAGAGATTTCTTTTTCTGTATTATAACTAATAATGAATTTAATAATCAAAAATATAACCAGTATTCTCTATTTGGACGTTTATTATCAAACCATATGCAAGTAACCACAAGCTTTCTTGTAATTTTTATATCGGTTTTCATGTCAAAATAATATGTTCAAGCAGCTGATTTTGCTCGCATTCTTCAAGAATTATCTGATGAAGAAAAAGGACGACAAGGATGTGAGAATAATAGCAATCTGAGTGAGGAAAATACAGATATAAATAATATCAGCACTGAATCTGAACAATAAAGTTCAGATGATGACAGTACTAATGATAAAGAAAAAAGGAATGATGATGATATATTCTATGTTAGTAAGGATAAAACTTCTAAGTGGCAAAAACAGAAACATGCAAACTGCTCAAAGATGAATAAAATGAATATTGTGAGCGTTACCTGGCATAAAACACCAAGCCAAGGATATAAATGATGAAATGGGAACAATTTTGAAAATAGTTGATGTAAATATGCTTGATGAAATTTTGGAATGTACAAATAAATGTATAAGTTTACTAAAAGGCAAAATACTCCAGAGATAGAGACTGCACTGTTACCCGAGTGGAAATGATGGCCTACTTTAGATTTTTATATATGATAGGAATAAAAAAAGGACACCATCTAAATGCAAAAGACTTGTTCTCAAGTGATGGCATTGGAACTGAAATAACAAGAGCTGTGATGAGCTGCAAGAGATTTTTATTTGTGACAAGTTGTCTTCGATTCTATAATAAATGAACAGGACAGATGAATATTAAAAGTAGCTTAGATTTTAAAATATAACTATTAAATAGTAAATTTTAAAATTTCTATAATAAAATACATCATTATTTTTTCACCTGACTCATATAAGCGTTTAAAAATAATTTATTATCATTTGAATGTGACATCATTTGTATTTTGTAATAATAAGGTTAATATTTTACGTTTTAACAAAATTTATTATCAATATTCACTCATCATTTTTTGTGCCAAAAACGGTAAAATAGATGTAAAAAATAGATGTCGTAGATGTAAAAATAGATGTAGGTAAAATAGATGTCGTGAGCGTGCGCTCATGTAAAATTGCTAAGCGTGCGTGCTGGAAGGTTAAGCAAAACTATACCTATATACATTGGAAAAAAACTATTCACCTTGTCAGAATCCGTATTTCAAAATTACATGACAAAACTACAAAAATTAGCATTCTAAAGATGCTTAGAATATTATATACTTGACAAAGAGAAGTTATCACTAAACATTTTTTTGTATTTTGTAAAATATTAATATTTAATAATTGAAGATATCATAACATGAAAAAGAAAGATTTTAAAATGAAATACAGTGAAATCTTGGTTTACAAACTTAATTATTCCTCAAGATAATTTATCATCTGAAAAATCTACAAATAAAAACAATTTTTTCCAAAAGCAATTAATGTAAAAGAAGTCAATTCATTCTTGGATCCCAAATGATTGCTCAGAAAAGAGTATTTTGTATGTAAGGTTATAATGCAAAATCAAAGGAAACCATTAAATATAACACATACACAATATTTAACACAATACCAAATATATAAAAAACAGGAAAATTTTAACTAAATTTGACCACATTTCTACAAAGGACAGTTTACGGTTTATGTAAAACACAGTGAATAATCCTAAAGTACAAAACCTTACAGCTTGAAAGGAAAATTATATAACATTAAAATACCAGATAGTTGATGCCTTTCTGTCTTTTTCCCTCTTCTATTTCTTTTCTCTCAAAATCACTAGCCTCAAATTGAGAATCCTTGAGTTTTGTCCCATTAAAAATTTGCCTGTGTGATTACTGCTTATCAGGAGAGAACCTTTGGTCAAATTCCGTGGATTAAATAAACAGAAACATTTTTCCTTCCGACTTCTTCTGAAGACACTTCCACCACTGCACTAATTGTCTTTCAGAATATCATTTGTTCTTGGCTTACTTGTTCATATTTTGAGACATCATTATCATTAAAGACATCTTTCATTTGGAAAATTTATTTGTGAATCTATTTTTTCATGATCCAAGGCATCTGTGAATTAAGATTCCACTGCAGAGTTTATTCTTAATCCGCCACTGATCTTATTTTAAATATTTACACAGTACTCAAATTTCTAAAACTAAAATTAGTAAATAAATAAATAAAAACCAATATCAGAACTCTCAAGAACAGGCTGTATGTAGCTGATACTTGATGTTTTCTTTGAAATTTACATGTATTTAAATATAAATGTCAAACTCTGACTTTTTTTAATGAGCTCTTACTTTCTGTTTTCATTACATTAGTTATAAAAGTTAGACAGGAAAGATATTTCAATACTCACTGTCGTTCATAAGTGGTTTTTGGTGATCAAGTGATATTTTTATTGGTGTAGCCCTAATGGGACGACACTTGACAACACATTTATCTGCATTAGGCAGTAGATCATCATTTATAGAATCTAAGATTGTGCAAGAAGAAATTAAAATAAAGCAAAAAAAAAATAAAAAGTGAAAACAAACATAAAGTGCATAATAAAAGATATAAATATAATTAAATAGTTTATAGCTTACTGTTTTAAATATAACTGTTGTAAAGTTTTTAAATAAACACTGGATTAAATAACTGAAATACATATAAGTATGGACAGAACAAACTACAAGTTAAAAAACACAAGGAATCAACAAAAAGGGAAACAATAAAAATTTCAGAAAAGTAAAAAATATCTGAAAAAAGTTACAATAGTTTAAATGCTCTTAAAGAAGATATATTATAGAAAACAGCCTCCTTTTAACCACAAAGCTAAGCTTTTTTTTCCCCCCTTTCAAATGCTTTCATTTAAGCCTTCTTTGGGATTGGTTAACTCCATCGCCATTCAACAGTCTCATCACCAAGAACGATGCCCAGCTACTGAAATTACACCCACATAAAAGAAAAATACACATATATATCCAAGTTTAATGCAAGAATGAATCCTCCACTCTTTGATTTCAAAGCTAACAGTCAGCATAAACTAAACACTAGAACATTCAGGCAGTACAAAAGCAAAACATGCAAAGATTACTAAAGAAAGTACCCCTCAAAGTAAAAGCATATTTTTATCCTTTATTTCAAATATAAGAAGTGAGTGTATCATCATCATTTCTTAATTATAACTTCTGGGAATATGAAACAAAAGATGACACGAGAGATTTCTACCCACACATTAAGGATAATGGCAACTTTAGTAAAGAACTGTTTCATACTGAATCACACTCTAGCAGTTTCTCCCATCCTCAGTTCTTCATGCATACAGTTTTGCCTTCTTCAACTTCATGTATATATAGATATATATAAAAGATGGGTATATACTGTCATCTGAATGCAGAACCTTTCCTCTTTACCAAATTTGAAAAAAGTTTTTTATTACATTAGACCCAAGCTAACAAAATATGTATAATATGATGCTCAACACTTATGTCATGATTCATATACTCTAGCAACAGAGTCAATTACATTATTTTTATTAACTATATTTATTAACTCTCAGATACAATTTAAATGCAGACTAATTTTTAACATTCACTTATGAACACAGAATTGCATATATATATAATAATAATAATTTATTTCCTAAACAATATTGATTAATTGATTATATTATCTTCTAAGTTTAATTAAAGTAGAATTATTTTAAAAGAGTGAATCCATACTAGTAAGTTATATTTTGAAAGATGTTTGAAGTAACTTGAAAGTAAAATGTTAATAATGTTTTAACAGGGACTGGAATTAAATCATGAAGAACAAAATTTCAATTGTAAAAGGAAAAATTAAATTAAAAGCAAGTAATCATTGTCATTGATCAGAAATTAGTTGACTTTTCAAGGGGAACAAACCAACTCCCGTTCAATGAACATTAATTAATAAATAAATACGTAAATACGAAGGTGTTTCATCTTTACTCAAGTAATAAGGTTAAGCCAAACCGGCAATTCTAGTCAAGCCAAATATTTCCACGAATAGAAGGGATTATGAATCAATGCTGAAACTCAAAGAACTTATTCCTATGAAGCATTTAAGCCAATTCAATTTTGAGTGAAAAGCAATTTCTGTAGAGAAATCCAAATAAACTCGAGTAACCGTCCCCGACACCCCCGTGTTTATGCATTTGAGTTCTATATTATTTGTAAAAATTAAACATTGGAAATTGTCATTATGAAAAAGAATTCAAAGTATAAAGTTGAAATAAATATAGAAGATTACAAAATAAGATAAATAATGCAAACTTTGTAAAAACAAATCAAAAATATAAAAGTAAAAAATATAATAATAACAGTGAATGTACATGAAGATATAAAGGCCAGAAAAAGTATTAAGTAACTTAAACTTGTTTTCACACTAAATGAATTTAAGATCATACAACATTATATATATATACAGTTTCAAAAGAATAAATTGAGTTTAATTAAAAAATTAAAATTTAAATACATATTTAATTAAATATTCTTTGCACCATTGTATAAAGTTGAAATAAATATAGAAGATTACAAAATAAGATAAATAATGCAAACTTTGTAAAAAACAAATCAAAAATATAAAAGTAAAAAATATAATAATAACAGTGAATGTACATGAAGATATAAAGGCCAGAAAAAGTATTAAGTAACTTAAACTTGTTTTCACACTAAATGAATTTAAGATCATACAATATTATATATATACATTGTTTCAAAAGAATAAATTGAGTTTAATTAAAAAATTAAATTTAAATACATATTTAATTAAATATTCTTTGCACCATTGCTGCAAGGAATGAAATTTAAATTTAAATTCTAAACAAATACATATAAAAGTAAAAAAGTAGAAAAGCAAATTTAAATTCTAAAAAAAAAGAAAAAAAAAAGCCAAACTAATTTAAAATAATTTAAAAAATATGCTAACATGTAAAAGATTTAATTCTCGAACTAATCTACAATATCATTTAAAAAATTCAGAAGCATAAGCAAATCAAGTGTAAAATCTATCCATAAAAATAAATCTACTAATTTAATAAATTAAAATTAAATTAAAGAATTTTTAAAAAAATGCACATGTGAATGATCGTAGAGTAGGCAGGAGACAGACTTATCAAGGGGAAGTTGCCTCCAAACCTAACTCTCCAATCATTCAATTCGTGTTTCGTCATTCATGCAGGCAAGGGTAAAAGTCAAAACCAAAAGTAATTCCAATAAAGTGGTACCCTTAGAAATTAACATTTAAGAATTAAAGTTCAAAAAGGAAAATACTAATTAAGTTTTTTGAGAAACAAGCAAGTAAAGTCAAGAATGAAACTTTTTCTTAAAAAATTAAATTTTTTAAAAATTAATTTTTATAAAATAATAAAAAATTTAGAAACCAATGTATTTTAGAAATCCTTGTCTACAGAAAATTTCCCCTACACGAATATGCATATCAATAAAAAGAAACTATAAAGATACATAATCCATATAAACCAATAAGAAACAAAAAGAACTAATTCGCAATTTTTAAAATAAATATATATTTTAAAAACATAATTTCATATTTAGAAAATACTTAGATACTACATAAAATTAAAAAAAAAAAAAAAAAATACTTAAAGCAAGTAATAGTAAGTTTTAATTCTAACTTACCTACTATATGAGTGTTGGGGTCTGCAAAAGTGTTGTGAAAGAGAAGTGTGTTCTTCAAATTATATAGATGGCGCTTATGTAGGTAAAGTTGAGTGTCAAGCTGCTATCTTTGTTATAGTAAAAAATTTTTTGTAAATATTAATATTAATTAAATTAAATTAAATTAAAAATCCTAAAGGTAATATTAATTATTTAGGGAGTTAAGGAACTGAGCCAATCAAGAGATGTATGTTTGCTTGAAGGATAAAGTGATGTGGTATGTGAAAAAAATTAAAGTGAAGTGGTATGTGAGAAAAATGTAAACTGTATGTAATTTGAAATGTGTGTTCTGTTGAAAAATTGTGAAAATTGTTAAAAAAAAAAATTAAGTGAAAAGATATTTGTGTGAAAATTGCAAAAAATTAAAGTAATTAAGAAAAACTGAAATGTTAAATAAAGTTTAAGTAAATTTTAATTTAAATTATAGATTTTTTTTAATTTTTTACGAATAGTAAGATAGGTTAATCAATTTCATTTAAAATTTTAAATGTTTTCATTTAATTAACTTTACTTTTTAAAAAATATATATATATATGTAATGATATTTTTAAATCAATTGATTAAATTAAATTCTAATAATATTGCTTAATAATGTGTTGGCGATTCTCTACCTAAATTGCATCCCTGTTCCTAAATTTTGGCGAAATCCTTTCTTTAGTATAAAATATATTAACCTGTTGGCGCCCGCCAAATCGCCAAACTCATAAATCTGTCATATTACATAAAGTCCTTAAGAACACTCCTGATGAGAAGATAGCGTCACCTCGTGATTTCAATTAATATCGCTGATTGGAGGAGCCTCGTGACGCACACATATGTATAAGTAGGGCTTCTGCTCAAGGTACGAGGAGAACGCTTGTGAGATGGATGCTAAAATAAACCTACCACTTTATATTCCAAAATTTGTCTCATTCCTGTTGCCCCGGCTGCACAAAACAAATAATGTATGAGAAATTACATTTCAGAAAGCCGGTAGGATACCACCTTCAAAGGGATTATCTAAAAAAGAAGATACCCCAAGGATTATACGGATAAAATGTTACGCACTTTAGATGAATTTGCCGCTGTGCGACTTCTATGTTTCTACATTTTTCTCTAGGCGTTCTTGCTTCAAGAGAATCATCCTTCTGTTACCTGTATTCTGGTATTCTGCAGATTATTTTACGTCCAGAGAAGCATCCTTCTGCCCCCTGTGATGCGTGATCTGTGTTTCCATCGAAAGTTCGTCGTTCATCAAATGTGCTCTTACCGTTGACCTACTTTTGAGGATGGAAATCTTTCCCTACGTCTACGCCGTTCTGTGTTGCTCTCGAGAGCTTTGTGCTTGTGTGGTGATTGATCGTGTTTTGCGAAAATCTAATCAAGAGTGCACAAAAATGTGTATTTTCGTGTCGATTTCATCACTCGTATTCTCGTCACAATAAGTCAAACAGAAGCAATTAGTAAAAAGATTGGCGATGCAAATGATATTATTACTATTGAATTATAATTACTGATTTAATAATAGTGTTTTTATTTTGAAAATTTTAAAAAGTATTATTTTGGTATAAATGTATTTTAAATTTGGTATTTAAAGGATGTATTTTGGTTTTAATATTGTTTTGGGAAAATTTCAAGAGTATTATTTTTAGTTAGTTCTCTGATCCTGATGATTCATTAAGGGCAGCTAGCGCTGAACCTGAAACAAGTATAATTCCCTTTGACGCGCAGAATGATATGGATATAAATTCATGGCTTGAGTACTTTAACAAAACTCATTTAGATAAAGATGAAACGTGGAAGCTTAATAATG